TGCTGCCACCCTCCGGTCCAATTCCAAGCCCAATTAGAACCGCTCCGAAAATCTTGAACTCCGACGCCAGGCTCCTTTTATTCGCCGGATTAGTTCCAGATCGGCGCGCGGGCGCCGGCGCGAGGCGCGGAGAGCGCGCGGGTCGGCCGGGCCACGCGAAGGCCGCCGGTGAGCACAGGTGCAGCGCGACTGTCCTCCTGGGGGCTCGGTGCCTGCCGTGCGCTGGACCAGCCGCCGTACCGGCGCCCCGGGTCTACTGTGGCGGGTCCACCGACCTGCTGTGCGTTTGCTGGATTGTAGCTGTTGGTCTGCTGTGCGGTCAAGTCGTGGGTCCGCTCTGGTGGGTCTGTGAGCCGGTGAGCTGTGACCCGGTGAGTTGTGACCTGGTGAGCTGTGAGCTGTGAGCTGTGACCCGGTGAGTTGTGACCTGGTGAGCTGTGAGCTGTGACCCGGTGGGCTGTGACCTGGTGAGCTGTGAGCTGCGAGCTGCAACCTGGTGAGCTGTGAGCTGTGAGCTGTGAGCCAGGTGAGTTATGACCTGGTGAGCTGTGAGCTGTAAGCTGTGACCCGGTGAACTGTGAGCCGGTGAGCTGTGTGTCGACGAGCCTGCTCCCTGGATCCGCTCCGGTGGAGCCGGTGTGGCGCGGGGGGAGGAGCGAGGGGAGGAGGTGGCGGCCGGGGCCTGCTGTGGCGGCCTGTCGGTCCGTTGTGGTGATCGCCGCCAGCGCGGCGCCGCCGCAGCGCGAGCCAACACAAACCCGAGCCGTCGATCGCCGCTCCATCGCGGCGGCTCCCATCTGCCGGCCTTCCGCCGGGGTGGCGTCATCAGCCACGGCGCGGCCGCTCCGTCATCACGCTGGCGTCATCCGTCGTCCATCATCAAGCCGGCGTTATCAGGGCTCCACCTCGGAGGGGTCAGCGTCTGTCACGGGGCTATCGCGACCGTGCCACCAGGCGACACTGGCCTTAATTCCTATGCTATCGGGGGGAGCTCTGCTGGCTGAACGATCTGGGGAAATAAAACAGCCCATTAGTTCACATCAACGGTTGCACCAGATGCACCCTGACAACAGCATCGTAGAGTGACGGCCTGCAGAGTAGGGTGCGCCTCGCGGGGCGCCCCGATTTGTGGTCAGATAGTTCATCATAACCTTTAAGCCGAAGGCCATTTGCTGCTCGCTCTTCAAGAGGTGACTAGCTACAAGTTAAATAGTTTCGCCTCAGCCCACCGCAAATGTGGCCCTAATCACCGTACAAACATAACTCAGGAGAAACGAGGGAAGTGTTGTAGTTGACGAGCGAGTTAGTGCAGCGAAGTAAACCGCCGACGTATAGCCGACCTTTTTCATAAATGAAATGGTTGCACACCTTTGGCTCTGATTCCCAATGCCCCCGGCTGCTGTTGCATGCGTGCTGATACCCATGCAAGGCAGGCTCCCAGGTTGCGTGCGTTCTGGCGGGGCGGTCTCGCCAACTGACCTTGCTGAACTTTCGCGCGTTAGCCGCCCTGGTCACTGACCTCTGACGTGACCTTCCTTGATGACAACCGCGTTCCGCACTGTTTCCCGTCCCGCCCACTTTCCGCTCATAGTCCCCGAGCGGCGCCTGGCAGTGTCTTCGCCGCAACTACTCGTTCTCCTTAATTAGATAGGTCTTAATTAGCCCGCGGCTGGGACCGGGCGATAAGTCGCGTTGTTATGTTACTGTTAGCGTATTACGACAAAGATAGCAGGGCGGTTTAATTTGCAAATGATTGCCTGAGGGGCGGGGCAGGGAGCCCTGGCGTCGTGTGCGGGCGCCTGCCGCTCCGAGAGCGTGCGGCGCCGGCGAGAGGCCATCCAGGAAGACAGCCGAAGGCCCGTTCCCGGAAAACAGATGATCCTGTCCGCACCCGCCAAGGCCACGCTGAGTGGCATGACCCTTTCAGTTTGATAGGGGGGTGCAGGCGAGGTGTTTATGTCATCGTCAGCAGGGGACGGTGGTGTGACTGGAAATGTGGCGTGGTCCTAATGTGTTTGTGTTTGACATTCCAGCGATGTTTGTGGCTTATCCACAGGATGTTGGTGGTGATTTATGTGGGGGAGCGAGCAGAACGGGTGCATGCTGAGCTGTTGCACGGGGTTCCGGGCAGCGCAAGTCGCGACGCTATGTTGTCCGACATAATACTTCACACAGCAGAGCCATGGAGAACGTTGCGTGAGACATCGGATTCATATGATTGTTGCAGTAAGCATTACATGAAGCGAAACTTCACGTTTCTGTGTCGTCTCAATGGGCGTAGCTTCAGTTCTACTCCTAAATTGATCAGTAAGGCCAAACCTTTAATATTCAACGTTTTTAGCTCGGCTAAACCCGCAACCAGGCTAACTTAGATATTCGATGCTCAAGCTTTGCTCGCGGAAGTTACGAGTATCCCAGTTTTCATTCGAAAGAGATATTTGCCAAGGACTGCGCTCCCACAATGTAATCGCAACTCGAAACGCGCATGCAAACATTGAGCATTTTAGACAACTTCGGTCCACGCTACTAAAACCTGACCCGGACACACTGTTCCAGCAACGCATCTGCTCCAGCCCTTAATCTTCGATCCCTGAGCCCTTCACCTGTGCTCTGGGGGAGGATCCCACGCAGGCAGCCTTCTTCGGCGCCCTGTCTAAGCGGACGTTTGTTTTTCCAGCCGGGCTGGCCGGCGGGGTGCTCCGAGCCCAGATCGGTCGGATCTTGTGCCGGCTGGCAGCCGGTGGGCTCGTCCACGATTGATGGTCACGAGCGGCGGCCCGGGGGTCGCCCCCCGCCGGGGCGGGGCGGCTCCGCCCCGCGGGTGGCGCCCTCTCGCCCCTCCGCCGTCGCCCCGCATAACTCAGAGGCCAGGTAACGGCCGGCAGAACCGGATCGGCGCGGCGGACAGCGGATGTCGGCTGGGTGGCGGCGCATGCCACCCCGGCTACACCGCTCCCCCGTCAGCCGGGCAGCCCCTGTCCCACACGGGCGAGCGGTCTCACGCCTCTGCTCCCCGCAGGACGGGCGAGGCTGTAAGAGGTTGGGACAGTTGGTGCCGTCTCTCCAGCGGGTGCAGGCCCTGAAGACCTGAGCAGTGGCATGCATCGTAAACAACCGGCGACACACGACAAAGGGCGGCGGCGCTCCCTGGCGCGACGGGGCGCCGGGGCAGAACACGACACTGGGCCCGAGAGCCAGTCGGGTCGTGACCCAGCGGCGATTCCGAGCGCAGCTCCTCCCACCCCCCGCCGCGCCCGCCGCCGCCGACGCGCCGTTCTCACGGGCGGCGGCCCGGTCCGCTGCCGTATCTGCCGATCGGATGGCCGATGGCTATCGCGCGGCCAAAAAGTCGACGGCTGAGGAGCGGCCGCGGCCGCGGCGCCCGCGCTGGGCACGGTTTGCGCACGGCGACGCACGGCAAAAACGGCGCCCCGGGAGAGACGGACGGCGCGGTGCACTAACAATGCAACGGCCGCAAACGTAAAAAGAGTCGGCGGGAGGCGGCCGTGCGGCGGCGTCCGTCGAATGGGAGGCGGTACGCTGCGGCGCTCCACGGGCTTCCTTTTAACGACGGACGGCCCAGCCCGCGCCGGCTGTACGGTACCCGTGGGAAGCAGGGCAGTTAACACGCCGGGGATCAGCGAATTGGGTGTTCTCATAGCTTTATGGGACTAACGCGAGGCCCAATTAGGATACCTGATGACTGAAAGGTAGGATACCGATGCAGGGTCGTTAGAAAGAACACTACAAATCGGGGTTATCAGAGTACCGTCGTGAGAAAGAACACTACGAATCGGACTTATCGAGGTGTCGTCGTGCCTTTGCGGGGGTGACCGCGAAACCCAATTAGTTCGCCAGATGACACGCTCCTGGGGCCTCTCTCCAAGTCGCGCCACAATCCATTTTTCTTAATCTGTGCCCGGACGGGCCAAACTGGAGTCCCTGGGTCCCATTCTGCTTAATGACTCCTCCCTGATTTTATCTGCGGAGACGGGCCGACCGGGCCGGCCGCTGCGAGTTGGGGAGACCACCCCGACCGGCGCCGGGCCCGCGCGGCACCCTGCCCGCCCGCCTGCCGCCCGCTGCAATAATATTTGGGAACGTGACATGTCTGATGGGCACAGGGCCCGAGAGGTGCGCACTGGCGGCGGCGGCGCTCCGATCGAGCCTGGGCCGGCCTGTCGCCGGGCCGGTCGCCGGGGCTCGGCTGCGGTGCGGAGGCACCGGGTGACGTAAACAGCCGTGGCAGAGTCGAGCTGGGGCTCACGGGCGCCGACGCCGCACGGGCGGGCAGGCAAGGCCTGGATGGTGCGAAACGGCGGTGCCTAAATTTCCTATGTCCATGCGACTCATCGAATTCATTGAAATGAAAAACGGATCAGTGCTCTCGACGCGGCGGGTCTCAGTGACCTCGTCAGAGATGATCAGAGCTGTCACTTGTCGATTGGAGTCGCAATAAAACCTCTGTCTGAGAAAATGCTGGTTTTGCGTCTAGGTCATACACTCGAAAAAGCCGACAGCCGCGGGACAAAATGTGCAAGCCATGTCCATAAGCGTTGCACATGACGCGGACTCCCCGAACACGTCATTTTTCCGTCAGATGCACCTGAGTTAAGCCATGTACCAAATGATTGCTAATCCTCTTACCCGCCGTAATCGGTTTTGTCGCGCCAAAACCGGCCCCAGGCATGCAGCAGACGTGAAGACTACAGCAAGCATTCGTTATCAGCAGCTGTTGGGGCTCTGGCTGTCTTGCATCGCCACCTTCCAGCGTCTCTGACAAGACACTTGCGGAGAGGGGGCGATGCCAGCTCGCGCAGGCCACGTGCGGATCGTGGAGACTTCCCCACACGTATCACCGGCCTCTGCAGGTGATACTGGACCGCGTCCGATACGGCGTGACCAACCTCACCGCTGCGCAGAGCGACATCTGTCGACTCGCAACGAAACTCAGCGCGCCGTTTTGCACTGTTTTCTGACGGCAGTTGTCTTGTCCACAGCGGGTGATCCTGGCCAGGTGCCGAGGCGCCGCTGACCTGGCCAGGTCATGAGCGGGATCGGCGTGACCCGACCGTCTCCGGGCGGCGCGGCACTCTTGCTGCTGACGCTGCTCGCCGCCGCCGCCCCCGGGGCCGCCATCAAAGGTACGAACGCTCCCAGCGCTGTCGGCGCCACTCGAGCGCCGACGGTTGTGAGCAGTGCGAGCGATGGGAGTATGGGTGCGGAGACGGGATTTTGCCGAACTTCAGAGCTTTGAGCACCGAAGCGTCGTGCGCTCGAAAACACGCACTCGGGAGTTTAGGCGAGGACTTGAACCGGCTGTCTAAACAATGCCGGCGATGTGAGAGGCATCCACGTAAACGCGCCGGCATATTTGCGCAGCACATGCAGTAAATCATAATCTCGGGGCCGAGCGTCAGCAGCCGCGACGTGAACAGCGTTGGACCGTGAGGCAGGAGTGACGCCGTCACAAACATGTGCCGCCGAGGGCTGGCCTGTTTGACGTTAGCAGCCGAACCGTGCAGCTGTGACCGGCTGCACAACATCTCGCCGCTTGGGAGCGCATGTTACTCGCCAGTGGCCGCGGCGCTGCCCAGTGTCGGGAATGTGGGTCAGTGTGCGGCCTGCTCAGCGAGAAGTCACCCGTCCGGAATGCACTGAGCATCGCGAGAGACTTGCCGACTGGGCGCCCGACGCGTAGGTGAGGCCGCTCGCGGCGGGCAGCGGGCGCCGGCGGCGCTCGCGGAGGCGTGCCAGTCGCGCCTCCGCCGCGCGATAACCGCCCCCTGACAGGAGGGTTAAGGGATTAGCCGCGGCGCAGACGGGGGCTGCCCGCCGCGCTGACCGGCCGCCGCCGCCGGGTAGGGGCGGGGGAGCCAGCGTACCGCGGCTGGCGGCGCGCGCGCGCGCGGGACGCGGCCGCTCAGGTAACGAGCGGCGCGACCCATCGCTCCCTCTTCATCTCCGTTCGCGACCGGTAACGACGTGTGATTTGTGCGCGGACCGGCCGGCGCGGAGCCGTAATTGGCCCCACGCCGTGTCGCGGCCGGGCGCTAATGACCCGCGGCGGCCCCGCCCACCTGTGTCGGCGTCGGGCCGCGCCGACAGGGGGCGGTTCCTGCAGCCGTCATCTCGCTGCAGACGTCCACTGCGCGCGGCTGTCGGCGCTCTGGCGGCTGCTGATTAATGACGCGTCGGGCAAGCGCAGCCACTTGACAAAGCCGAATCAGCGGCGAGTAAGCAAACGGTGAGAGGCGGGGATGACCTTGCCGGACGGTGCGGGTCGGTAGGAGAGTCGGAGCAGTTTGGGAGGAGGTCGGCGCTCCTGGCCGTCGCCGCGTGGCGCCACTCTCGCGGTGATAAATAGAAGAGGTGGGTGGTCGAAAGTGGGCGGGATGAGGCAGGCGGAACGGGTGCTGGACATTGGGCATAATAAGTGGCGAGAAGGGAGACAACAGGCGCCTGACATTGGTAAGAGCGGGCGGTGGAAAATGGTCTAGTGGACCGTGGAGGACGAGAGAGAACTCGTTGGGGGAGTGTTCAGAGTGGGCGACAGGGAGCGGACAGGGCGGACGGTGGAAGCTGAACAGAGTCGACGTTTGGAAACGGACAAAGGAGGGAGGGTCGGACTTAAGCAGACAGGGTGGGCAGACCCTCCGCCGACCACCGCCGCCCGACGAGCCACTCTCATCCATGGCGCCTTTACGAGCGGTCTGCACTGCCGAGAGGGCTGATAGTATCGCGATGTGGCGGGACCAGACAGGACGTCTAATCGCGCCGGATGGGAGTTTTACGGCGCGCCGCCCAACGCCCGGACAAAGGCTTCGTTGCCCGGTCATCACGCCAGGCGTCCCGCGAACTTAGCTACGGCTGGCCGCCCCCGACCGCTGCGACCGCCGGCCGGCGGCGGAGGCGGCGCACCCGCGCTCACCGGGCCTGGCGCTGGGCCGGGGGTCCGCGCGCCGCAGCGGAACAGCTAGTACCTGGGCAGGCTGGGCAAACATGTCCGTGTCAGGCGAGAAGCCTGAGCAAGGAAGCTTCATGGCTTCGAGTTTTTTTTTCTTGGGGCTGGCTGACCCCGGAAGTGGAGGTGTCGTGTGCGCTGAGCGGCCTCCGAGCCAGCTGCCGTACGGGACCTGATGAGCCGGCATTAGAAGCTGATCCGTGGCGCGCCGGCTCGGGGCGGACAGATGGCGCGAGGGTGACGTACCAGTGGCCGTCGCCAGCCATGTGGTGACTGATCGCCGTGAGCACCGGCCGCGGCCCACTGGCGCAGGCGAGCTCCGGCGGAGTCCTGGCTAAGTCAGCCACAGGAGCATGTCACAACAGCCCTGACGTCACCCGCGCGCCGCACCTGCGACGCGAACGCTGACGAACGTGGCACGCCTCTTCCTACAGAGCTGATAAAGATGACGCGCGCCAGCCGCCGGAGCTGGCACGCCTGACGCAACGTTCCCGCCAAAGCGGACATTCATTATACACCTGTGCCTTCAGAACCGAGATAACTTTGTGCTGGACATACCGGCGTAGCATGCGCGGCGCACAAACCCCTACTATTCTGCTACTACTACAAACTACTACGAACTATTCACATACACTGCCACTACTAGTACTCACATAAACTAATACTACCATGAACTACTACTCCGGCGAGTGAGATGTTTGCTTGCTGCTCAGCTTCGCTCTCACCGCGGCCGGCGACCCCGCAGCCCGCCCCGCTCGGACTTCCTGCCCGACCGGCAGCTCAGCCCCCTTCCACCCCCTCCCCCCGCTGCCGTGCAGGGCTAATGGAGCGCTGTTTGCCGGCGGCGTCAAACATTTACCCCGCCGTCAGGGGACCGTCGTCCGACGCACCGGCGCCGACGGCCAGTGACGGCCCGCCGGCACCGACGCTGAGCGGGAGGCCGGCCCGGGGGCGGAGCCGGCCTGTACTGGGGACGGCCGCGGGCCGACAGTCCATGGGGTCCATCTGTGCTGACAGGGGTGTTCTGCAGCTGATCGCTGTTAGAGGTGACGCATATAAGCTAGGAATGCCAAACATACGTGCTCACGGTGTCGCGTAAAGTCACTGCTTGCCTTGTGTTGATTATAACTTATAGTATCAGTATAAAATATTTGCCAATTGAATTAGATCCCGGATCGATAATCCGATCCCGCTCATCCAGCCAGGGAATGACATGCATCGAATGTTCCTTATCAATTTGAATGGGCATTGAATGAGAGTGCGTTACTTTCGGGGGGCGGGGGTTTAAGCCGTGAGAGACTCTCAGAGACCCTCGAGCCTCAGGGGCTCGTCAGGGGAGGCATAAAAACGGAATATTTGTAATCCAATCACATAAACTGGAAGGTGCACAACCGCGCACAGGCGTAGTAAACAACGAAGTAAGAAGGGTTAGCGACGGAACCCAGGACGGGCTACCACGACCATCACGCACCCCCCCCCCCCCCGCCCTCCCTCCCGGGTCAAAACCCTCGCCACTCGCACAGGCTCCGCACCACTCCCATCGCGCATGGCGCAACCGCCGCGGCCATTCCGGACACGCTTAATTCAATTACGACGCCCGCTGGGCGCTCTGCCGGGCGCCCCGCGCCGCTGTGCCATGTAAATGTCACAGCCGAGCCGAGTCGAGCTTTTTATTTGCTGCCGCGCCGGCTGGTTCGCGGCGCGACGGGGTCGCGGGCGGCCGCGGCCCGAGCGGCGACGACACTGTGCTGTGCACGCTCCCGCTCCCGCACCCGCGCCGCGGGCCGCCGCCGAGGCTGCGGGGGCCGTCACGGCGACCCTCCTACGCCAGCCGCGCTCCCAGCGGAGAAATGAAGCCGGAGCGAGCGGCCGCCGGCGGTCTGCCCGGCCCGGACGTCGGCCAACTGGCCGGCATTCATCACTGTCAATTGAGCGTGCTTTATCGTAGTGGCGGCCGGACCGTTTTTTGGCGCCGCATTGTTCCGGGCCTATTTATGCACGGCGTTCTTTAGCGCTCGATCGGGCGCCGGTGACACCCGATGGATCGGCCGCACCCCCGTCGCGAAGCGCCCTGCCCGCGCGCGCGCGGCAAAAACGCCGCGCATAAATCGCGCGCCGCGGCCGGCGGTCGGGCGGCAGCGGTGGGTTTGCGGACGCTGGGCTGGGGTGATGGGACGGTAGGCTGGCAGTCATGGGGACGGTGGGCTGGCGGTGACGAGGGCGGTGGGCTGGCGGTGACGAGGGCAGTGGGCTGGAGATGACGAGGTCGGCGACAGAGGACTGCAGGCAGGCGGTGTTGGGAGTGCAGGCCGGTGATGACCAGGGTTGTTGGCTGGTAGCGACAGCGGCGGTGGCGGCTGGCACAGGGTGACTGTAGGCTAGCGGTAACGAGGGTGGTTGGCTGGAGGCGACAGCGGCGGTGGCGGCTGGCACAGGGTGACTGTGGGCTAGCGGTAACGAGGGTGGTTGGCTGGTGGCGACAGCGGCGGTGGCGGCTGGCACAGGGTGGCTGTGAGCTAGCGGTGACGAGGGCGGTTGGCTGGAGGCAACAGCGGCGGTGGCGGCTGGCACAGGGTGGCTGTGGGCTAGCGGTAACGAGGGTGGTTGGCTGGAGGCGACAGCGGCAGTGGCGGCTGGCACAGGGTGGCTGTGGGCTAGCGGTAACGGGGGCGGTTGGCTGGAGGCGACAGCGGCAGTGGCGGCTGGCACAGGGTGGCTGTGAGCTAGCGGTAACGAGGGTGGTTGGCTGGTGGCGACAGCGGCAGGTGGCGGCTGGCACAGGGTGGCTGTGAGCTGTGCGGTGACGGGGGTGGTTGGCCTGGAGGCGACATAGCGGGCAGTGGCCGGCTGGCACAGGGTGGCTGTGAGCTGGCGGTGTACGAGGGCGGGATTGGCTGGAAGGCGACAGCGGCGGTGGTCGGGCTGGCACAAGGGTGGCTGTGGGAGCTGGCGGTGAACGAGGGTGGGTTGGCTGGTGGCGACAGCGGCGGTGGCGGCTGGCACAGGGTGGACTGTGAGCTGGGCTGTGACGAGGGGCGGTTGGGGCTGGAGGCAACAGCGGCCAGGTGGCTGGCCTGGCACAGGGTGGCTGTGAGCTGGCGGTGAAGGGAGGCGGTTGGGCTGGAAGGCGACAGGCGGCAGTGGCGGCTGGCAACAGGGTGGCTGTGAGCTGGCGGTGACGAGGGTGGTTGGCTGGTGGCGACAGCGGCGGTGGCGGCTGGCACAGGGGGCTGTGAGCTGGCGGTGACGGGGGGCGGGTTGGCTGGAGGCGACAGCGGCAGTGGGCGGCTGGCACAGGGTGGCTGTGAGCTGGCGGTGACGGGGGCGGTTGGCTGGTGGCGACAGCGGCGGTGGCGGCTGGCACAGGGTGACTGTGAGCTGGCGGTGACGAGGGCGGTTGGCTGGTGGCGACAGCGGCGGTGGCGGCTGGCACAGGGTGACTGTGAGCTGGCGGTGACGAGACGGTGGACTGACGTTGCTGTCTAGCTTGTGGCGGCAAAGCGGTGGCGCTTAAGACGACCTCGGCCAAGCCAAGCTCCGATCTAGAACCGGCGCCAGAAATACATGAGCTGACGACGCTCTCTCTATCTTCGCGTGTTTCCGCGGATTCAGCTGGCCGGTCCGGCTGTCCGGCTGTCTGTCCGCCTGTCTGGCTCATGCTTCTTAATGCGTTCGCTCGCTGCAGCCCGAACGCAGCACCATGTTTCTCCACGTGGCGCCGCTGATGAGAAGGCTCATCTGGTATTCAGCTCACGTACGACGTGTTGTCTTTGCTTTAGGCTCGTTTATCCTTGTCGGACCCGGTTGATTTAATGTCATGCACACCGTGTGCTCCCTCGGTCGCCGGTCGTGTTTGCTCTCCCGCTGAACGCTGACTGCAGCGATGACGTCACACCGTGGCTACCGTGCTATTGCGATGCTGTCTTTGGTTGCATTACGATGTTGTCTGGCGTATTTGGTTCGGAGTAGTTCCGTCAAATTGAGACCAATCAACTCGGCTTCTTTGTTTGCCTTAGGAAAGCCAAAGTGAAAACGGCGACACTAAGGCACAGCCTTGGTGTCACCTCCCACCAAGGCACCTTGAAGCTGCATTGATCCAGTCCAGAGCAAATGGCGTCTTTCTGTTGCTGTCGTCTCATTTCGTTCGTTCCCAAAGTAAAGGCACACGACATTTGTCCACTTAAATGTCTCTTGGCAAACATTTGCCGAGCAAATACCGACTGTGGCCGACAAAAGGCTTTTTAACTCGAGGCAAGAAACAGGACACCGCTCTGTCTCTAGTAAACGACCTAGCGCCTGTTGTTCCCAGTATATTTCGAAAATTGCTGACTGATATACCTGCCCGACATCTCAACACTTATAGAACGGCATTAACATAAATACGACGCTTTGGTCGTGCGCATGTAAGCATCGGTAGACGTTTGTACTGACCGGCATTTTGTTTTTACACCTGCTACATTCTTTGCACCAATGCCCGAAGGACATCATCTCGCTAACTTGCTCCGGTCTCATTATCTCATGTCAAGCGTCGATGACGCAATGCGCGCACGTGGCGCGGGTTAGAGCTGTGGCGGTACATTGTAAACAAAACGCAAACTGTTGATACACTCTCAGTTTAAAAGCAAATCCGCGCGCCAGCTGCCCGCTTGCTGGCACGGCAGTACTTATAATGCTAATAGTCTCTAAGTCCTATGCTTATTACCTATATCTTTATATGCTTCATAACTACTTTTAATACCTATACCCAACACGTGGGCACGTTCGTTGAATGAAACACTGCTGCTAAACACGGGGGCAGCCTGCACGTATGAAATGAAGCGATCATCATCTTTCAAAAGCTTCGTCACTAGCGCGGGGGAATAGGGGCAGTGATCGCGGTGACGGTGGGCTGTTGGTGGTCAGAATGCTGGGCAATCGGTGTGGAGTACGGTGGGCTGTTGCTGATGATAACACCGGTACAGCTCCCCCTCCCTCCCTCGCAGCGCACCGCCCAGGTCGACGCCCCGGAATGTTTAGCCGCACGAAAATGCGCGCCGGCGAAGACGTCTCTATTTGGCGCGCCGCGGGCGTGTTTTTCGGCGCGGCGCGTGCGCGCGCCCGCAATGCGCCGCATTGTTCGTGCGGCGAGGGAGCGCGGCCCGCCGCCACCGCCTGGGGCATGCTGTGCCGGCGGGAGCGCGCTGTGCCCCGCGCGGTGGCGCCGGGGCCGCCGGCGCCGCCGCCGCTCCACCGGGTCAGTCGCTATCTGTCAAAACCGGTATCTTAATCACCAAAAAGTGGCGTAGGCACTCGGGGCCTGAAGGGCGAGATAACGTTTACGACCTGTTGGCCTTAACGAGCGATGCTCCGGTCGGTTAGTTTGAGCGACGACACAAGACGCCATCACTTCTTTGCGAGAAAAAGCTTTGAAAGTATGCTGAGGTGTCAGAACTAGGCGCTTATCGCACCGGCGATGGATTGGCTTTTTAGCTTTCAGGCGGTTTCGCTGAAACAGACTGAGCGAGCGGTTCAGCTCAGCGGCGTGGCGAGGACTTCGCCCAGGACGGGCACAATCAGATGACAGAGGACACCCAGCCAAGTAGTGCCTCTCCCTGGCCTCTTGCTGAAGTATCTTTCGTGTCCCTGGTCCGAATTTAAAGCTTTGGGGGCCGTTTTTGTGCTTTAAATCCACACGGGCCTCGTAGTCTGCCGAAATCTGCCGTACGGCCCTCTCTAGGGGTCGTGACACCCAGGAGCCCTCTTCCTTTTGCTTCACCACTGGTTGTGCCCACACATCTAACGCGAGCAAGCCTCGACTCAGGATATTTCCTGGGTGGGAGTTAAGCTTGCACGTATATGGGAAAACGGTAACGTGCAGACAACCGCAAAAAATCCCCTCACCACCGCCAGCGCACAGGCGCGCCGCTACCACGCACTTGGGCTGACGTCCACTCCACCTCAGCACGAAACAACCCGTCGCTGGCGCATCTCGCCATGGAGGCTGCAGTCGTGCCCACGGCGACGGGCGCCCAAGTCCGCGGCCGGGAGCGGGGAGATTGCGGGCGTGGGGAGGGTAGAGGGTAGAGGCACGTACGCCACTTGAGCCGATGACCGCACGCTGACCGGCGCACCTGAGCGCTTGATCCGTTTCGGAACAGCCCTCCGTCTCCGTGATCCCGCGTAGTCCCCACGTCGGAAAGGGCTAAGCTGATTTAATTGCCTGTCGCCCGCGCGTGGGGCCGGTCAGATTGCGCCGCCGCCGCCGCCGGTCTCCGGAAGTGTCCGGCTTCCGCCACGCCCGGGGAGAGCGCCTGGAGTCGTCATCTGGCGGCGGGGCGCCGTCGCCGGACGGGGCGGTCGGCGCTAGGCGGCCGGCAGAGTTACGGTGGCGTCTGGCGGACACGGCGACGGCCGTCCGCCGGAGTTCCGCTGATTAGGATCGCCGCTCGCCGCCGCAACGGTGACGCGGTAGCTCCGGGTTGGACTGCGCGGCGTCATGCTGTGGGCGTGCCGCAGTCTGCCGCTGTTTGCCACGCGTAATGATGTTTTCACAGTTTTCACGACTTGGTAGATTGGAGATTTGGTGGGTTGGCTTATTGTTACTACTTACGGTCGATGGGTAAGCACAGTTTTGACAGCAAACGATTTCTGGTTGCCCCGAACGTTTCACAAAAAAATGCAGGTCAGGCCAGAGCCGCGTGCCTGCTATGCTGTGATTCGTCCGTTGGCAAAGAGCCTGTCTACTGCGCTTGTGTTATTCGGTGCAGTTTACACTATATATCTTATTTCTGCCTCGATGCCAGTTCCTCCACGCTGATTAATTCACGCTACGCGGAACATTTAACTTGCACCAAGCAAAGCCCGTGATACAGGTTCACTTCAGCCAATCCTGGGCCCGCCTTTGCCCCTCGTGGTGCCACTCCGTTCCTGCACGTTCGCGCTAATCCTCCGCTCCTGCGTGCTCGGCGCTGCCCCCCCCCCCCGCCCGTGCGCGCTCAGTGCTGCCCCTCCGTCCCTGCACGCTCAGCGCTGACTCTCCGCCCCTGCGCGCTCAGCGCTGACCCTCCGCCCCTGCGCGATCAGCGCTGACCCTCCACCCCTGCGTGCTCAGCGCTGCCCCCCCCCCCCCGCCCCTACGCGCTCAGTGCCGCCCCTCCGTCCCTGCACGCTCAACGCTGACTCTCCGCCCCTGCGCGCTCAGCGCTGCCCCTCCGCCCCTATGTGCTCAGCGCTGACCTTCCGCCCCGCCGCAGGTCCACCCGTGCTCAGCCAGCGCGTCTCGCCGCACCTGGTCGTCCAGCTGGGCAATGACGTGCGTCTGAGCTGTCCGGTAACGGGCACGCCGGCGCCCATGATGGAGTGGCGCAAGGACGGCGCGCAGATCCACGACTCCTGGCAGCGCTTCAGCATCCACGCCAACACTCTCCGCGTGTCGCGCGTCACGGCCGACGACGCCGGCGTCTACGTCTGCGTCGCCGTCAACGGCTTCGGCACGAAGCGCGTCACCACGGAGCTCTTCGTCATCGGTGAGTGGGCCGCGTCGCCGGAGGGAAGCGCGGGGACGCCTGGGAGAAGGCGATGCCGATATTCGGCCCTGCGACGGGAGACGACTGACTTTTAGGATTCAGCACAGCACGTAAGGAATCTGGCGGCTGGCGCGAGCGATGACTGCGGATAGAGCCGCGGAATTATGATAAAGGAGACTAATGTTGCCGTGTCAGGTTTCTGTTGCGTCGTAGTCAAATTAAAAAGCAGATTCAGCTTCATTTTTGCAGCTTGCCGAAAATAGTGCGGCCCGACTCCACTCGATGAGTCTCCGTTCTTTGTCTGCTGTACCTTCACGTACGGGCCCGCGAGCTGAAATGTAAACAAGGCGATAAATTGGCCGGCTTTCATTAACTGCGGAAAATATCGACCCGCGGCGCCAATCCTGTGTCTCTAGGGCACACAGAATAAAACCGCCATCGTCGCCCTCGGTGGCAGGCCCGGTCTCATTTCCCGGATATTCACCCACACGACCCCTGACATCAGAGCGACAGCCTGTTCAGCCAGAGCCGGACAAAGTGACCGACCCCTTTGAAGCCCTGGTTGGAATGCGAGCGGGCGTCGCCGACAGACGTGCGCCACTCTCAACAGGCTAACGCCGCGCCGTCAATGCCGCAGACGGCGCGGCAGTTGCGGGAATTTTACATTATTCCGTCCCGTGACGTCGTTGGCCTCACTAACTTTACGCTATTCATATGCATATTGCACGCTTTCCGTTATTGCAGGCGGCATTCGAAGCCTCCCGAGGGAGCGCGCACCCGCTGCGAGCGCAGAGGCGGCCATAAAAAATACAGATGATTTCTCTCATGTAATCAAGAGCGCACATTCGTCGAGTCGCCAACTCAGCTACAAAACAGCCCCGCGCTTGTGAAAGGAAGCTTAATCTACATTACAAACACAGCGAGCAGTAAAAATGCTCCTTCCGCTCCGAGGATAGCTGTGGTGAATGTCGCCCTATGTCCACAGACGTTGTAAAAGTGTTAGACTTGAGGAGTAACGTCTGAGCCCACTGTGCTCTCCCATAATCATACCGACATGCGATAAGTCGTACTTGCCGCCCGCACCGAGGTCAATGCACGGGATCGCTGACTTGTGAACGACATCCACTGAGCCTCTGTCCCCGACCTAACCTCACCTGACCTCACCGTGACCTCCGCGCAGATCCGAACGCCTCGGGGCACTTTGATCAGCTGTCGGGAGGCCGCGACACGGCTGACAATCTGGTGACGTCACGGGGTCGGCCTCCGGTCATCCTGCTGCCCAAGCAAGGCAGCACCCTCCAGGGCCCGGTGGGATCAAGGCTTCAGATCAGCTGCGTCACCTCCGGCTACCCGGAGCCAGAGGTCAAGTGGTATAAGGTGAGCGAACGACCCGAGCGACGCGCGTGCTGGGCTGCATGAGCCATGACCGGCTTTTGCGGGTACTTTACTCTGCGTTAAATTTTTGACTGGGATGAAGTGCGGATCTTTATATAACAGATATGCAGACCGTTATATAACATGATTTGCTACACCACTTACTTAGCTGTATGGATTCCAGAATTACAATGAACGGCTCGTGCAGATCTGGAGCGATCCATAAATCCGATTTGCTGCAGTTATTCGATTTAGTCCGTGCCACCACAAACGCAAGCAATGATTTCATTATCGTCAAAAATAGCAAAAGGATAGTGCTTGACTCCGCGATGCGCTTGCATGTACCAGAAGCAGAACTTCTGAACAACTGAGGCAGCTGATTAAGAAACAACAGTTGTGCTGTGAAAAATGGCAACTTGCCATTTTGCATTACCTTACTGAAACGCTTGCCCACTGTACAGTACGCTTGGCCACCTATAAGGCAGCCAACGTGGTCCACACCACATGTGTCAGTTTTTAGCTCTGTATTTCATTGTGCAGCGCAATCATCATGTATTTTGATGCACGCAAAGCTGATACCGGACAACTCACGTCGGAGGTCTGTTAGAAGAGGCGTACAGGAACCGGTCGTGAGGAGGTCGGCCAAGTCGATTCGCATGCCATGCCAGCATTTCAGATGTTTTTTTTTCGGCCTACGCGATGAGGCGATGACTTTCCCGCTATTGTCCCGTCGTCAAAGGGTTGAATATGGTGCGAAGACTGCTCGGCTAGAGATCTGAGAGACTCATTATGGATCAGCGGTGTATTTTAAGTGACAAGTGGGCTCGAAAATTTGACGCATCGAAGTGCTTGCGCGTGCGCAAATGTAGGAAGACTTTAGCAAAAGAGCTGTCATTATCGAGCTTTTCAACGGAACACGTGCCACACATTTACTGAAAATTTGCGCGTCTTTATGCTGCTCCACGTCATTTATTAAAAAGTGTGCTGGTGACGAGTTTACTCGCCATGTAAGATTGAAAACTTTCTGATGAAGCGTGCAATATGAGGAGGGCTCGCAAAACTATGTGGCCCAGTCTAGTGTTTGAAGAGCCAGCAACGAATCATGCAACGCCGTGACATCGCGAACCTCATGATTTGTGTACCCCATCTTGAAAAAGAAGTACTGGTTGAAACTCTCACGTGGCTTCGGCACGCGCATGCATCACAGCCGACGGCCTTCTCTTTAAACTTCTGACCTCCCGCTGTCCTTCCAACCTGCTTACGCCGATCATTTCTGGACAGATCCTTGCGCTGACCTGCGCGCCACCTGACCTGACCTGACCTCCACAGAAGGGCCACGCAGTCCTGCCGTCGACGCGTGTTCAAGTCGGCGGCGGCCAGCTGGTGTTCACGCGCCTCGTCGAGTCGGACGCCGACGTCTACATCTGCGTGGCCGCTAACGTCTTCGGCTCGGCCAATCACAGCTTGACGCTGCGTACGACAGGTGGGCCTGAACACGCCGCCAGGTGGCTCGCCGATCGGGCCATTGATCACGGCTAGTCGCTTCCTTTCCTGTTACCACGCCGCTGTCGCCGCAGGTCGCGATGCACTGAGCCACCGGCTATGGCGACGACGGAACGAAATTGATTGCGTGATTACAGCACGCCGCGTTGTAATGAGTTTGCGCTGTTATCGCGACCGATGGGTTTTATGATGCTGTCCCTATTGATTTACTGCTGACCGTGTAAATGATTGCTTTTCTCATGGCCGGCCGCCTGTACTACACGGGACGTCGTGCATTATTGCGCAGCCGGGAGCGACAAAACGGTCGTAACGGCGGGCGACAGCTGCCCCGCTGACGGCGTATTGACGTGCCGCGACACTGTCGCGACCGCCGCAGCCAGCTGACGCCCCGCTCGGGCCCGGTTTACAGAGCCCGTGTCGCCAGACCCCGTGTTCCTCGGAGCACCGACCAACACCACTGTGTACGAGGGCGACACTGCCGTCATGCAGTGTCGCGTGCAGAGTATCTCCAAGGCGCACATCAAGGTGGGTTGCCGGGCAGCAGACTGGTGCGAGAGGACAGCGCTGTCGACGCGCGGGAAAGTGACAAGACGTTTGGATGTCGCGTGGCATGAGCCCTTATCACAGCCGCTGAGCAGATATGGGTGACGTAAATTTGTAAACGCCATCCCACAAACGAGCTGGCATCCCTTTGCGTCGTATCTTTCAGACTTACCATCACTGAAATGGCGTCCCATTTAAACGACGTAGCCAAACCGGCTGCCCGGTCGCCAACAGCCGGTCGTGGACCATCGGACCGCCGCGCGCGAATACGTCCGCCCGGCTGGTATATTGACGGCTCCAGCGGCGTGCAAATTGGCGGCTGGGTTTAATGAGCTTCATCTCTTCGAATCTGGGTCTCGTGCGTCTCAATTAGCCGCGACGCGGCCGACGCCCCGACGTGATCGACGTTCGGGTCGCGGCGAGGATGGCTTCCACAAAATGAGGCTCCTGCTGAATACAATGACGCCGGACAATTTATTGGCGGTCGGCTTCGCCGGGTCGGCGTAAGATGGCGTCGTTTGATTTGATTCACGCCACGGCGGCGACAGTGGCACGTCAGAGCGGCACGGCCAGCCGGCGCCGTCCATCGTCGCTGCCACGCGATGTGACGGTGCAGGGCCGCCACCCCGGGTCCGCCGCGCTGGAGCGTCGCCGCAGCTGGCCGTCGGCATGCCCAGTGGTCGCGTTGTCAGTGGTCTGACTGGCAATGGATAAGGAAAACCCAGATAGGAAAGACATGCGGGCATTGTCTACGGCAAAGCACACGCTCAAGCGACTGTTGCTGGCGAGCGTCTTAAACCCATCGATGGTGGCAACTGTTTGCTGAGAAGCCCATACTCAAACAACCATTGTTTGGGAGAATGTTTCAAACTCGTAACCACCCAGTCCGTAAATATTTGGAGAATAGATCCCACCTCGGCGCGCAAAAACCGCACCTGTCTCACCTGCCACGCGACGTAACATCGCCGTGTCCCTCCCACAGTGGGTGCGCAAGATCGGGCCCAGCGCCGGACCGGCGCTCAACCAGACCCTGGTGGAAATCCAGGGCGTGCGATACGCAGTCATCTCCGGCGCGCACACCGTCCAAGACGGCCACAGCTACTTCACCAAGCTGACGCTGCGCTCGGTCGTGCCCAGCCAGGAGGGCGTCTACGTCTGCATGGCCGCCAACGACAACGGCTTCGCCGGCCGGGAGGCGTTCCTGCACGTGGCGCCCGGTAAGGCGGCCAGGGAGTGCGGGCCAAGCTGGACAGACTGTCCTTAAAAAACGAGCAGAAAAAAAACATCTCAAGCAGCTAATGATGCCACTTTAGTAGAAGCGGATGCTGTGGATCTCTTCGTTTCTGAACCACGTCATGCTCCTATGCGACCTAATCTTTGCCGTGATGACCCATGCCTTATGGGACTCTCCTCGCTGCTCCACATTTGCGTTATTTCAGCACGACTCCTATGGGCTTCGAAAGGGAAGAAACTGGCTTGGTTTGGTTTTGTATTAGAGCCCTTTCGGCCAGAAATGATTATTTCAGTGCTATGGGATGAAGGGAAAGGGTTAACGGTGGTGCAGGCTTGCATGCGCCTGAGGGCCACCCGCCATGCCTTAACCCGCGCATGCGCGCTGTGTACCCAGTCGGGGTCCCCCTCCCACAGGGCTATCGGCCCACACGTGGCTGATGTATGCAACCTCCCCCGGACAGGCGGGGTGTAGCGAGGATGCATGGTGAAGCAAGAAAGAGGATAAGAGGGACGGATGAGAAACTTGCTCAAGCTGTTTTCCCCACTCAGCTTTTGACAGTGGCGAAAACCCTACTCATCCACATCCCCATCAATCCTGCCAATACAATGGCAGTATTGCAACGCACACAATCGACCCTGGCGCCTGCCGCCGTCGTTATGGCACGCTGACTACGACGCTGTCGGTTCCAGCGCCGCCGGACTCAATGCAGGCGTTGCTGATCGCGCTGCCGGCCGTCGCCGTCGTCGGCTTCGTGCTGGGCGCCATCTGCTGCCTGCACCGGCGCCGCAAGACGCTACCGCCGCCTAGCGACAACAAACACAAACAGTACGCGCCGAGCCTGCCGCCGGGCGGCGCGCGGCCCAACTACGTGACGCAGCGATACGCTGCCGACGGCGACCGCGCCGTGCGAACAGTGCTGATGCCGCCGGGCCAGCTGTGTGTGGACGGCGGCAGTCTCTCGCGGACGCACGTGCCGCCGCCGGCGCCCTACGACTACCGCCAGTTCCGCCACCTGGACGTGGTGTGATGGGCGCCAGCGGATGGCGCGAGATGTGATCGGACGCTCGGCGAACCGTGCGAGACGCGGGAGACGGGACCGTGCGAAGTGACCTGGACGCTGCGACGAGCGCTGGACTCCCGCCGGCCACGCCCGATGCTGTTTTGTACCCTTGACTCTGTGAGGACCCTTCGCGCCTACCGCCGCCGGGGCGGTGTTGTTTCGCGCCTGTGGCGCAGGTGCCCGCGGCCGCGCAGGCCTCGATTGTCGCCGCGCCCTGCGCGTGAGCTTCGCATCTAGTCATGTGTGTAGCGGGCCACGAGCGGGCCCTTGTCTGTACTGCCAACCGTGTCAAGTGCGCTGCCAACCGTCGGCGATGTGTTCGATATGTTACGTCGTCCCACGCACCTGCAGTTACAGCAACGATTTTATTTATATCATTCCTCGGAGAGCACAGTAATACAGATCTATAGCTGATTTAGTGTTTCCTTGAAGCATCATTATGCGGGAAAAGAACACCCGCGACTGATTAACTGTATCACATCATAGGGCACACACCAGCAACAGCAATCACAGGGACTAGGAGTTCCCACCACGTCGGCCATTTCCCACCCGTCGCCCCAGACAGCCGCTAGAGCAAGGGTCACACCATTTCGGCAGCGGGCCGCAGCAGCCGAGCCTCGCCGGCAGTCACGCTGACTGCAGAGAGGCGGATGGGCCCCGCGGCCCGCGCGCGGGGCCAGCCGCTGCCACCGCGCCCGGTGACCGGCAGTGTCCGGGGCGCGGCAAGGCACGGCGAGTTCGTCGAGATTCGGCAGCGCCCCGAGGCGCGGCCGCCGCACGCCCTGGCGGACGGCCGACGAAGCAGAGTTGTGCGTCGGATCACATGAGGGCGCGCCGATCGCGCGCCGGAAGCCACGGCGGGCAGGCGGGCGCGCGCGGTCCGCGCGGAACGCCTCTACTAAGCACACGATCACGCACACGCACCCGTCCACGCACACGCAGGCACAACAGCCGAGTGGCGCGCGACGCCAGCGAGCCGGCGACGGCCCCCTCGACACATCCACCCATCCGCCGACCACACATCTCCCAGCGAGCCACGCACGGGATTCGGTCTCGCACGCCCGCTGACGACTCGGCCGCAACGCTTCCCCGCACATCCCGGTGGACGGCAGCGCCCGGCCACCGCCGCGATCCGTCATCGCGGCATCTCGGTCGGATAGTCGCGGTCAAGCCGGTGAGGGGCCGGAGGGCGCCGCATCGCCCGCACTCAATTAAGACGACCTCTCGCGGCGCCGGATAGAGTAGCGCCGGGCCGACACGGCCCAGCTTCGCGGCGCGACTGATCGCTCCCGGTGCCCCTCTCCCGGCTCCGCCCTGGCGCAGCGTCCTAGTGTGCGGACGGCTCGGCCTGGCGACCGTCAACGGCGGCCGGGCGGGGCGGCTTCCTCTGGCCGCGCATGCCGACCAGCCGGCCGGCGGCCGGCGCCACCACGCCCGCCAGGCCGGCGGCGCGCAACTGCGGGGCGCCGCGGCCCGGCCGCGCCGCCGGCGCGCGCGCCACCGCCACCGGCCGCGCCGCCGCCGCCGTCGCCGCCGCCGCCGCCGCCGTCACCGGCTGGGCCGGACTGGCGGCCGGCGGAGAGACGCGCGCCGAGGCGCCGCTGGCAGCGGCCGACCGCGCCGCTGGACCGCTCGTCTTCTGGTCTGGGGCGGCCGCGCGCGGCGGCGGATCAGCTATCGACACGGCCTCCACCGACTCGGACAGTGTCGACAACACGATCTCCTGAAAGACGGCGCAGAAGTTTTAGTTGTTAATTTGTGTTTCTTTGATTTAATGAAGTAAAGCATGAAGAACCGTTCTCCAAAACGCTCTGGTGAGTGATATTAAATGCTTCCCAACGGCTTGTTCGCGATGACATGCCGGTTCACGTTACATAACTTTCCATGAGAATTTCCAGGGCAGTGCGTAGACCATGTAATGGCTCAGATCAAAATAACGAGACACCAGATTCTTTCCGACGTCAGGCCAGCGCCTTCCCCGAGCCTGTCCTGCCCCGTTGTATGATTCGCCCCCCGGTTCGTGACGATACTCGCCACGACGGTCGCAGGGCAACCATATCGACAGAGGAGAAAAGAGAGCCCAAACTGGACAGACTGGCGGCCGACCCCACTGGCGGACAGTCGGCTCCAATCATAACTCATCAGTGCCACAATGTCACTAGCCAAACATTGATACATGCGCACGAACTGATGATTTCCAGAACGCGCTCCGATATAACAAGCATTAGTTTCAAAGCATCCACACAATTAATGTTCTCCATAAGTTTCAGCAACTTTAACGACAAACCTTGCCTGTTCCCGACCAGATCCCCTGCATTGCACGGATCGCCCCACCTGACACCTGCTAAGAACGCAACAAAGCCCCCTCGGCTTCACAGTCTTCCGCCCCGGGTCGGCCCCCTCCCCCCGTCCTCGGCCGCCGGTCTAACCTGCACGAACGCGCTCCGGTCAGCTCTGCCCAGCTGTCGCTCGCCTTGCGTCATCTCGTCCTCGTCCAGCACGCTGCAACGGCAGACGGCGTCAGCGGCGGACGCGGACGGCCGGACCGCGCGCAGAACGCGTCATCACACGGACGTCCTGTCAGGACGCCGCCTGGCGACGCGGCACGAAGCCGCGAGCGCCTCACCACCGACTGGTCACGCGTTACCGAAGGCGGCGGCCGGTAACTATCTGCGACCCACGTCGCTGAAGGCGGGCCCGCCGGCACGAAGACAGTTCATGTTTATATACCGGCGTGTCCTCGTAGCAACTTGTGATAATTACAGCGAAAAACGACGTCATTCCTAACAACTACCGACGAACCGCGTGCCACCACGCGGCGGGCCGGGCCGCCCCTCCTGCCCGCCCTCGCCACCGCCGCCGGCCTGACCTGGCCAGCAGGAACTGCGAGCGTCCGGTGTCGGCGTCGCCGTTCTGTTGGGCGGCGGACGGTGCCGGGCGGCGCGGTGCGGCGGTGGCGGCCGCCTCGGCCGGCGGGGCGCCGCCGCCTGCGGCCGGAGCGCCTGAGCCGGGCGCCGCCTGGCGGCGTGGCGGCCGCTCGCTCCGCTGTCTCACCGCCTGCGCCTGTCGCACAGGGAGCAGTCATAGGGCTGGGTACAAAGAGGGCAGCCTGGAGACGCACGGGCTACAGGGGCGCGGCCGACGCCGGCCGATGGGAGACAGATGCAGGGTGTGAGAGTGCCATAGACCCGCGCGGGTGGGGGACGTAAGCTTAAAAATGGCTGGAAGGATGTCGAACACACAATAGATGGCATCGCCGCCAGTAATGTAAGGCACATGACCAGGATTAAAAAAAGACGGTTAGAAAAAGTTCTGGGGCGGGAATGCGAGAGAGCACGTTACGGGATGATCATTCTACCGTTACTTCCAATGCCATACGAAAGAGTGATGCCGGCGTTCATTATGGGCAGGCGCTGCCTCCTCCTCCCCCAGCTCGTGTTAAATAACTATTACTGCCGAATGCATGTCAGCCACGACCTGATACACCCATGGGAAATACGCAAACAAATCATCGAGCATGAGGACACCGGCAAGCAGCGGGCCACGTGCCGACACGCTGTGACGGGAAGGGCAGAAATCAATACATTGTCGAGTCTGCATTTGTTTGACTTAAGGGAAACACGCTACCTTTTTGCACTTTTTTATTGCTTGACCAGATGCCTTTGATTTGATCAAAACAACCAGTTTCCTCGAAACACTTCTGAATCGCTGATAATGTCAATTCGAAGTAGCCGCTCCCGCAGGAGAAATCTCACTGGATTCCCTGCTCACCACTATGAAAGCGATGCATTTAAGTTGCCTTGCTTTTTCTGTGCATCTTATGTTATGCTCGCAACACATTTATCTGCCGAAATGCTTTTGTAATGCATGCTAGGGAAGCTTGGATCACTCCGTGATGAAAAAAATATGCAAACATGAGGCTATTGTCCAGCGCATTGAACGAAACGTTATACTACGACTTTAATTTCTCCCCTATGGTGTTTACCCCCCCCCCCCCCCCGGCTTTTTTCGAGGCGCACTTCGGCTTTGGAAACCAGAGTCAAACGATGCACTTCCTGGTAGCTGGCCCTTGCCCCCCGTCGTGCCAATCACGAACGTTGATTGGTACTGACGTTATCCATATACCGTACCATATCCATACCCGTAGATGTGCCATTTTTAAGCCCGCAGGCCCGCAGTGCGCGGGTTAAAACAGCTCAACAGCGATACCTCTAACCCGTAACAGCCGACAACGGCCCACAGCAAATACTGCCGTCGCCATGACGATGTGGGATGTCGTGACGGCGGCGGTCGTGACAACTGCAGTTGTCTCGGACAGGGGGTACGCTCCGGAGCTACCACGAAAGGAAGAAGTGTAGCGTCGTTGCAAAGCGTTGGCAGCGTAATTTTGACTACAAAATCATTAAAATGTAGATCCTTATTATATTTTGATGATACAGCAGTGGCACTACGGAATGCTTTAAATATTCTCGAAAGGTGGGACGCTCCCTTTATTGCCGCCAGGAAAGCGTTAAAATCGCAGGAAGTTGTTGGAAGTATCATGCACGCCAACAACTTTCTTACGCGCTATCAGCACGGAAGGCATTCAGCCCCTGGTTTTGCAGCATGAGTTCAGACGCCTTATCCTGACTCATCGACCTCCAACATACCAGACGGTACTGGTTAAACGACTCTATATGTTCAACGTGGCCGAGAACTGGCCTCCACAGTTCGTGGTGGCTATTACTGCTGACTGGACCCATGGCATGAGCTCACTGCTAGATCTTTTCAAATATCAACACAATCTCAGCGTTTCTTTCACTCTGGATCACACCGCGCAAAACGTGTCGATTCTATTCATCGACGCCCTTTAGTGGTGCGGCAAGATGAAAGCTATTTCACAGAACTCTACTTAAAACCCGTGGACGCCCGGTCATGCTACGTTACAATGCGGCACTCATGGCTGCTATGAATACGGTTTGTATATCTCAAATGAGGACAGCGCTGCGCGTACCGTCTGATCAACGACCATGTGATCGCGGTCCAACTGTCCCTTCTTTTCCATGGTAATGAATAGCAGGAACAACGAGCGAGGTCTTATGCTTGTGCCGCACGCTCTCCGTTTAACTACATCATACTAGCGAAGAACTACAGAATTGCTAGCCAAACAAGACAAACTATGGATATGTGACGCTCCCTTTTATAGATAGCGAGCTGTGGAAATAGGCCAATGCCACCGTACCATCCGGTGTCTTGCACGGCCTTGGTAGCGTGAGCTTAAGGTCCCAATTTAAAGTCAATGTTAACACCAGCGCTAGCGATCCCAACGTGTCCAGCTGGGAGTAAGAGTTGTCATAAATGAGGTAATAGACTGAAAGAAAAACGCACGCGAAAAAAATGTAGCATATAACATTGCCTGCAACCTATGCCTAAAATATTCATATTTTTTAGCAACAGCTTAGGAAAGCGCGGACCTCGAGAGTTCTTAGAACCGCAGCACATTCGTCACCTCTGTCCGACGTCCAGCACGCCACGGTCATCATATCTGGCTTTATCAGCTGCTTTGAGCAATCTTTTTGATGACGGTGTCTGCAAAAGTTCGGAGCATTTTCTGGATTTAAGTGCCCGTTTTTTCGTTCATTTGTTTTTTGCTTAACGTTTCTGAACCTTCCACTTGCGATCCTTGCGATCATAACTAAGGCTTGAAACGCCGAATACTGTAATTATGACCAATGTGTGCTCTACAACATCGTTTCACAAATAACTCCTTTTATGTATGTATATATATATATATATATATATATATATATATATATATATATATATATATTCGCATGTGTATCACAGTATTTACTACGTTATTTGCTTTTTCGGTATAGTTCACGCCGGCTGGCGCTATTCTCCCAATCCCATGAAACGGCGCCCACCCTGAGAAACGCTTCCCACTCACACCGATTCCACATCCCATTGCGCCCACACCTGGTCAGGCCCGACACCGCCAGCGGCCGCCGCGGCGCCCGACTCGTCCGTACCTGCAGCTGCTGCAGTCTGGAGGCGGTACCCGAGCCGATGGTGCCGGCGCTGGGCGCGCCCGAGAGCGACGTGGCGGCGCGGCGCACCCCCGACAGCTGCGACAGCAGCTCCGTGATCGGGTCCATGGACTCCCTGCCAGGCGACGCCGCCGCCATCAGTCACGACGGCCCGCCACAAACGAGCGGAGCATCAGCACGGGCCGGCGCACGAGCAACGACCGGCAACGTGGCCCGGTATTACCGGCAGACGTATGCCTCCAGGACGACTTGGTTGGGCTGGCACGCCTCCAGAACAGCCTCTTAATCCGCTCGGCACGAGAGCGAAAAATGCGAACTATTACAACCATGCCAGGTGCGCTTTCAGCCCAGAG